CTTAAATAAGTAGAAATGAAGGATTATCATGTATGCTCTTATTTCTACATATTCTCTCATGAAATCTGAATGGTTTTTTTTAAAGGTAAAATAAGTTGTAGTCATTTGCTTCTTGTCATTTAAACAAACAAAAATTCTAAGGTCTCATCTGTCATACTTGATCAGAATCTTTAGGAGTGGGGCCCAGGAATCTGTTCTGTATTTTAACAAGCTCCCCGCTGAACTAATCTATTGCCTCCCCAACTTCAGAAATCTACATAACCTTTGCCATATTCACATTGCCCTTTTGCTATTATTCACTCATATTATTTTACATTAATGAACTGTTAAAACGTTTAGTTATCCTAATCCAATGTCCCACTTAAACCAGTGGATTGTGAAAGCTTAAAAAAAAAAATGACCATAACAACAGGGCCTAAGCAAAGGCACCATACCCATTCTGCACTAAAAATAGAAAAAATTAGACAGCTGTGGTGGCATGCACCACAAGTCCCACTATCTAGGCGGAGCTGAGGCAGGAGTCCCTTGAAACCCAGAGTTCACGTCTGCAGTGGAGCTAGCATGGTGCCACGGCACTCCTGCCTGGGACACAGTGTTCCCCTCCACCATCACAAAAAAAAGGGGGAAAGGAGAAAAAAATGCACATTAAAATACATAGCTATTTTAAAAATCCATTTGTGGACCAACTAAAGTCAGCTGTTACACCACCCCACCACTGCCTCTCAGAGCTGCAAAGTTTGCAGCCAGATCAGTGAGCAGCGAACTTTGGCCGCCCTTTCCCGCCTCTTTCCCAAGATCCTCTTCTCCAAGGCCGTTGTGCGCTCCTCACAGCCTGCTAAGCCCTGCCGCCCCAAGCTGTGCCCCTTCCTCCCTCTCCGTTCCTTCTACTGCCTTCTTCCGTCACCTCAGCAAGCGTGGACATTTTGCAAGGGGCCATACCTGAACTCAGAACAGCATCACTGAAGCACATTAAAAGATGTTCATAGAAGACAAAAATGGCAACAGGCCTCTAGATAAAAGTACTGGCAGAGTTCCGATTAAAATACTTCATTCCCTAATGCTCAATCTTAAATCACACATAAAGCAAAGAGCGAACACAAAGAATATGTATAAGAGATCACACCATTTCAGTTAAAGATACATTAACAAGATGTTACACAGACAGGACGTTATAGTATAACACCCAGGATGCAAACACATCAATGGCCATCATCAAAATGTAAATATGAACACATCTGCATACTTCTCTCCTTTCATACTTCCTTCTGCTCCTCTGCTGCCAACCTAATGAACAAGTCCTGATATACAAGGCAGGATTACATTTTTTTCCTAACAGATTCAGTTGGTGTAGTGTATTTTTGGTTATCCAAATACTCACATAGCTTTGGGATTTTCCATTGCTAAATATTCATGATGTGTGAAAAAGCATGATGCATACTGTATTATGTCAATCCCATAAAACTGGATGTTGTGTATGTGTCAGGATCTAGAAGTACATGTCCAACTGTGAAATGCTTGTGATTGTGGATGACTTTGTTCTTTGCTTCTCGTGTTTTTCAGTTTCCTATATTGCATATATTGACTTTAAAAAAAATAAAGGTTATTTTAAGGTGAAAAAAAAAAGATGTTCAAATATAATTAGGTGGTGGGTGTTAGGTTTAACCTTTAATATGCAAACGTGCTTTGTTTGCCTACAGTGGGACTCTTTTCTGAAACAGACGTGTCATAGAGCCCTTTCCACCAGCACCTGGCCAGACAGACACGCCATCCATCTCTCCACCCCTCCTCGCTCGCTGCCTTTTCCAGTCCTTGGCACACAACTTCCTCTTTTAATACACAGCTCCTTCCTGCCCCAAGCCCTTTGCAGTTCATGGATCCTTTCCACCAGATTTTCATGTAGTTGCTACTTAGACATTTCTTTTGGTTTCAACTTAAATGTCACCTCTTTCCCAGAGGCAGCCCTTGACCAACCAGCTAAAGCTGTACCACTTCCTGTCCATGCCCAGACATGCTCTACCACAGTGGCTCTTACCAGGTGTGATATTGCCCCTCAAGAGATGTCAGTTGCCACTGGAGGGTGTGACTGGCGTCCAGTGGGTGGAGACCAGGCACGATCCTGAGGATCTCACAGGGCACAGGACAGCCCCCTACAACAGAGTGCTCTGGTCCCAAATGCCACGGTTCAGAAGCCAGGCTCCATTACAATATTCTTTCTCCTAAGCATTACTCAGTACCAGAAATAATGGTTTTTGTACTTCTTCCCTGCTCAATCGGCACTCCTCCGGAACTGGAGCTCAGAGTTGTTCTCGTCTATATCCCCAGCACCTATAAGATTACATGGTACCTGCTTGACTCTCAACAAATTCTGACCCAATTTGACTTTGTCCCAGCAGTCCACAAGTTGAAGATGCCTGGCCCAAACTAACTGACAGCCTGAGAAAATACCAAGTCAGTTTTCAAAATGAAAAAAAAAAAAAAAAGCAACTTTTATTAATGAATGTACATACAAATGAAACAAGACAACCACTAAGAGTAACACACACTGCCACGTACTCATAACATCATTCCACCTTAACAGACACCTGGGAAAAATCGGTTCTGCTACGTCTTAAAGATGTGCAAAATTTCTTAAGTTTAAATATATGATCTTAATGCCACCAGTGTCCTAATGTCCCAAGACAGACAGTAGGTAATGGAATCTCAAGAATCAAAGACAAGAATCTCCAAGAATCAAAAAATAAAATTCAGTATGATCAATAAGACTGATATATTTACAAAGGGGAAAAAAGCACATTAACTAAATTTCTTCCCTTCCTCCACTCTTACTCATTCTGTTATTGATGAATTTTATCTATAGTATAAGATGATAGCCAAACTACTCAACTTTTTCAAAAAAGCAACAGTTAAAAAAAAAAGATACCATACAGCAAGAGACTTAAGTAACACCATTGAAATTATTTACCGAGCACTAATACTCTATCTTCTATCACTACAACGTCTACTAAGAAAATAAACCTTGCATTTACATAGTGTTTTTTACTTTTCAAAGATTTCTCACAAGAAACATTTCATTGGAAATACCACTATATACCCTACTAGGTATGGAATTGATTATATCTAATGGATGAAAAAAAATTAGGCACAAAAACACTTTGCTTTGACATCATCCGGTGTTACTGCTAAGAGTTAGGATTAGAACTCAGGGCCTATTCTTAATCCTGTATACTGCACTAAGCCCCCATATATTCTGTTTCACAGAATGCCACTAGTCACTGTGCTCACATGTTCAACCAAGTTTTGGAATCGGTGAGTTAAACAAAGTTAACCAAATTCCCAGAGCCTTTTTTTTTTTTTTTTTTTGAGACAGAGTCTCACTTTGTTGCCCAGTCTAGAGTGAGTGCCGTGGCGTCAGCCTAGCTCACAGCAACCTCAAACTCCTAGGCTTAGGCGATCCTCCTGCCTCAGCCTCCCAAGTAGCTGGGACTACAGGCATGTGCCACCATGCCCAGCTAATTTTTTCTATATATTTTTAGTTATCCAGCTAATTTCTTTCTATTTTTTTTAGTAGAGACGGGGTCTCACTCAGGCTGGTCTCGAACTCCTGAGCTCAAACAATCCGCCCACCTCAGCCTCCCAGAGTGCCAGGATTACAGGTGTGAGCCACTGCACCCAGCCTTCCCAGAGCCTTTAATGAGCATCAGAAAGCTCCAGGAAGGGAATGGAGAATAGGGTGACAAAAATGAACAGGTCGAGAAGGCGAGGACTTGATGGCTAGAGGGTGTGGCCCCAACATTGGGGCCCTGAGTCCATAGAAATGCAGTCCAATCTTGCCAAGTATTTCCAGGGAAGCTACAAATCTGGGCTTTAATTTCAAATCTTCAGGTTTATGCACATTATCTCAAATTCAAGAAAACACTCTGGTTTAAACAAAATGAATTTTTAGACCAGATCAGCCTGGCACCATTTGGGAAACCCAGAATACCGTGTATCACAATCTTAGTTGCCCACAGAACTTTCAGGAACCTATCAATTTCCTGGAACTCTGCAGATCAGTGTGAAAAATGTTGTCTTCATAAAGCGAGCATCCTGTACTCCTAGACCACCACTATGGCGGAGTAGCTCTGAAGCTCGAGCATGAATTACTTCAGGGTTTACTCAAATAGAAAATCAAATTAAAATCCAGCCTTAGTTCATGCAGAAATTTTTCTCTTCTGATAAATCTAGTCCTTAAAAATCTATACTTCTGAACGCTGGTATAATTATACCAGTGACTGAAGATATCCTGATAATAAACATTTGTTTAACTCTCCTGGCAAAACTAAAAGTTTAACTGAACTGTGAAAAAAATAACATTGGAATTGACTAGATATTTAAAAAGACCCACTCTTCACTTTTCTGAAACAGTTTTAAATATAAAAGTGGTTTGGAGGAAATTTAGAATTTAGGATGAAACTACTGACACTTTCAAATACTATTGTATTTGCCATATAACTTTTCTAAGGCAGAAATCCTTTTTTGCCTACTCTCTCCTTTTATTCGTTTCATTTCTGCACTGCCTCATTCTTTTCTTCTTTTATTTTAGTTTAAAAATTTCATTTAGCTTTATTTGCAATTCTAGAATTGGGCAATACTTCATTCCATAAAATAGAATAAGTGATCTCTGCACTGCCTCATTCTAAAAATTAGTGTACAGAGAGCCTGGTGGCTGTTTACATGAATAACTAGCATTGTGGCACAAGTGTAGTAAAAATAGCATAAATGTGTTGAATCACATGGCAAATGATTGTTTCCCCTTACTGTCAACTTGGTCCATATTCACTGCTGTAGCTTCTTTTGACTGCTAAAATAGCTATCCTGATCCAGGATCAGGCACTTGATGCATCATATTTCCAGAGCCATGAGAAAACAAGTGTATTTGTTATGGTGAAATTAGACTCACTTCTACTTCCACGTAGAGGAAATAAAAACCTTTATGATTTGAAACACTTGGAAAACTGAGAAATGTTAACATTTGGAGTTATAATATAGAAACATGAAATAATAATGAAATACATCCAAATGAAGTCTTAAATTAGATTTGCTGATTTTTATGTCCTATTCACCTCTTCTTGACAGCTTTGGGTGGCCAAGACAAAAGTTCATTTCTTCTATTCCCAATGACAATTCTCTTTGATAGAGACAGGATGCATGGGGACTTAAGAGAACATGCAATTCTAGTGTTCATGTTTGAGAGACAGCACTGCAATGATCAGAAAGATTAATTCAGTTTTAGGATAAAATATTAGGAGTATATTAGCAACGAGGTTGACTATACACAGTTTTGAGCTAGACTCTATCCAGTATCACTGACATGTTGGAATACTGCATGAAACAGACACAGAGAAATGGTCCTTGAGTATGAAAGAAGCCTGATAGGGTGATATCTGGTCACAGTCATCTGCAGTCACGGGCACAAAACCTCAAAGAGCACCACTGGGTCTTAATCTGTGACGTAAGGATTATCGTCAATAATGTAGATATTGTCTTCTGCTGGGAGTCGCCTTTCAGCTGCATGTTCCAAAGCTCCAATTTTAGAGTCATTCAATGAAACCATACTGCAGAAAGAATTGAAGAATAACATGAGTAGGAAAAAAAGTGGACTACTTCTAAAGTATGAGCAGCGTTTTTGTTTATAATTAGGACGACTGGGTATTTGTGACTCTAGGAGTCCTTCATACAAACTACGAAATCAATAGAGCCTTCTGGAGTTGTGAGAAGTGTAGCCCTGAGTATTGCAGAGAAGTCTGCAAAATAAGCACAATCTAAAAAGCATTCAAAAAACTCAGACTGGTGTCTTTCAGAAAACTCACATAATAGAATACAAAAATGAAAAATCCAAAGACAGATATCTGACATCAAAGTAAGTTACTAAATCAAGATGCATATTTTCAAATGTGGTTGGCCCAGAACCAGTTGACTGGTGTTTTTTTTCCAACTGTGGATTGTGATTCTTTAGAGAGTGTTGTTAAATCTACTTAGTTATCTCCATCCTATATTTAAGAAAAAAAACATAGAATAGAAAAATACTGAATGTAGTAAAATAGCGCCGTTTCACACTTGTATACTGGATCATGGTGTTCAAAATTTTACTGTGTCTCATGGCCAAAGTTCAAAGGCTAGGGTTAGATTATTTTATAGCACACACACTCACACAGACCAAATGTACAAAAATGTCAGGCATTGGAGATTAAGAGATTAATATTTTGGAGAGAGCTATTGGTGTTTCGTGTGCTGGCCTTATACATCAAATTACGAGAGGCCTTTAATGTGACTGCTTAGAGAGCTTGTTCTGTATATCACGTTATTTGAGGGTAGTCAGTGTACTGATGTGTGGGCTTTATAGAAATGAGTAGAAAGAGTAGAAGAACAAGTCATAGAAGAAAGCAGCCTTCCAAGTTTAACTTGTGTGGCATTTTGATGTAGCTGGTTGTTTCAAATCTGCATATAGTGACTATTTCCATTACCAAATCTTGGCTCAAAAAATATGGAACCTGAATCTTCATCCAGCCGCAGATGAAGAACATGCCAACACTGAATGTATTTAAAAGAACAAGAGAGATAAAGTTCCTCGATTGTCCTTAAATGCGTCAGTCAGACATGTGTGAAAGCACTTAGTTTAGGTGTCAATAAGCTTAAATGAGTCAGTGTGATATAACGGCCAAAAAGGTAATGTCATGAGAAAATACTCCTTCAGTGGTGCATTTTTTTTTTTTTTGAGACAGAGTCTCACTTTCTTGCCTAGGCTAGAGTGAGTGCCGTGGCGTCAGCCTAGCTCACAGCAACCTCAAACTCCTGGGCTCAAGCGATCCTCCTGCCTCAGCCTCCCGAGTAGCTGGGACTACAGGCATGTGCCACCATGCCCGGCTGATTTTTATATTATATATATTAGTTGGCCAATTAATTTCTTTCTATTTTTATGGTAGAGACGGGGTCTCGCTCAGGCTGGTTTTGAACTCCTGACCTTGAGCAATCCGCCCGCCTCGGCCTCCCAGAGTGCTAGGATTACAGGCGTGAGCCACCACGCCCAGCCTTTTTTTTGCCTTTTGATACTTTATGTTTTCTACAATATTTCCTTTATAATTAGATGGGAAAAAATGAATCTTTAAAAAAAAAAAACTTGGCAGTGCAAGAACAAAAATCAAGTAACTAAAAGGATGCTATGTTCCATGCTTTTCTGCCCATGAGGAACATTTCTTTTTCACTTTTCAGAAACAGTTAATCAAATCTACTTAGGAGCATGGGCTCCAGAGATAGAGCCCTTTATACACTGTGTGCTTGACCTTAGAGGCCCCTGAACATTTCTGAACCTGTTCTCCAATCTGTAAAGTGGGAATAGTGCTCACTTTATTGCTGTGAAGGGCATGACTGCAATAACAAAAGCCAACATGTATTGAGCACTTACAATGTGCTGGGCACTGCTCAAAGAACGTTCTGTGGCTGGCTCAGGTAATCGGACGAAACTTAACTACTCGGACGTAGTTAAGTCTGTGTGTGAACATCCAATGAAGGAGAACGAGGATTGATGCAAAGTAGTCTAAGAGGGATAGATTTTGAATCAAAGAAAGTCCTTGCTTAAAGCCCAACCGGAACCAAACAGAGCAGGCTAGCTGGCTTTAGAACTAAATAGTTGTCTCCTGCCATTTACAGGCAGTGGGGCCGACTGGGACCAATAGCCCCATGGCAGAGAGGCAGTAAAGGGGATTTAAGTTTTAACTGGGTTGCAGGGTAGACTGAAAGATCCTCACCAAGATAGTAAATTCAAGTGCCTCCATGACCAGACAACTAATATAAATGAGTGGTGCAGCAGGGGATGATGGGAGCTGGCAATGGTGCAGCAGGGGATGATGGGAGCTGTAGAGAACTGGAGGCATTTGCCCTACCTCAGTGCTTTTGCACTTCCTGCCCTTTCAGCCAGGAATTATCTTCTTCCTAATCTTCTGTTCCCTCAGGGCTCACTCAAACAGCCCTTCACCCTGCTCTATAGACCCCATTGTGTTTGTCTGAAATCACCTAAAAGGACCATGTTTATTCGCTTATATGTTTTCTATCTGTTTTGTTCATCTCTTTGGATTATTATCAGTACTCAATAAACACTCAGCAAAACAAAACATTGAACAAAATAAAAGAACAAACCCAAACAACTCATTCCATGCTCAGCCCCATCAAGCAAAATGTGCAATTTAGTTCTCTTGCTCTAAGAGGGGAGGACTGAAGTGTTCCCCCTGTGCCAGCCCCGCCACAGCTCTGGGGAAACACAGAACGCGGAAATATCACTGGAAGGTATGAACAGCAACGGAGGTGCTCATTCATCTAGCTTTTCAGGATCCAGGATATAAAATAGAGTTTTTAGAAGAAAAAGTGGAAAGAAATAGAAATCTCTCTTTATCTTACTAGAGTAGGAACATCCAATGGTGTTGACACAAACACTTTCAAGCTCACCTTAGTTGTGGCATCTTCTTTCTGATGTAGAAACACTCTATATTGGGAGGACAGGGAGAAGTTGAAGAAACAATTAAACATGACAGCAAGAGTCCATACTATCTTCTTCCAACCAAGTATATTATTTCTGTTGTTACTCGGACCCTTCCCTGGTAACTTCAGGTAACCCCTTCCCGTATCTCTTTTTGAGTCTGTTGAACCCAGACAATCCCTGTTTTGTTCAGAATCTCATCTTCACAAGTAGTTTGGTGTTCTCATCCACATACCTTGATTTACACTAATATGACTGTTACATTTTCTTCCAGTCTAAACACTGAGAGAGTTTTCTGATGGGCTGCTGGAGACCAGGCATTAACCAGGACTGACACAGGCCATGCCAAGGTTCACGCCTATCGAAGGATACCTTTTCCAGACTTTTGCACTACCAGTCACCCCCTCCTTAAGACAGCAATAAAGGGTTGCTTTAGGTAAGGAGGAAAGCATATTTGAGGTTATTGGGGATCAGAAAACAATGCCTCCAAACATGCTGCTTTGGATTTCAAACTAAGAGCACCTGGGGAGCAGTGGATGCAGGGAAGGGCTTTCTCTGAAGTTCCCTGCTCTACTTCTAGGCCAAATCTTCCAGATTTTCAATCGTTGTGCATCCCTCCCCCAGAGAAATGGGTGCATATTACAGGAAGGTAGACTAGAGGTGACAACATACCCACAGCCCAGAAGAACTTTGTCCCAGGCTATTGTCTGTTCTTTGGGCCCATTTGTCTCCCCTACGAATCCTTTACTCTTCCTCTGAGATTACCTATACCCTCCACTTCCCTCTCCCTCATGGAGAGGGCATTTAAGCTTCAGCCATTGGGTCGTTTGAGTCTCATTTTGTGTGGCTCCTGTGCGCATGTGCACGCAATATGCATGCCTTTTCTCCTGTTACTCTGTCTGCTGTCAGTTCACTTCAGCATACTCAATTATCAAACCTTCAGAGGGAAAGTGTGAACTTCTCTAAAAGGTGTTTTACCCAATTTCTAAATAATCATTTTGACTGACCAAGTTCTAAATAAAATAATTAGGTGGAAACTTCCTCAGATTTGCTAGGCATACTCGTAATTTTCTAACTCTGCCCAGGAACAATGAAACAGATCAGTAATAGGTTCAAATACAGTGTCTTGCAAAATAGCCATTTGTGGGCTGGGCATGGTGGCTCACGCCTGTAATCCTAGCACTCTGGGAGGCCGAGGCGGGAGGATTGTTTGAGCTCAGGAATTCGAGACCAGCCTGAGCAAGAGTGAGACCCCGTCTCTACTAAAAAAATAGAAAGAAATTAGCTGGACAACTAAAAATACATAGAAAAATTAGCCGGGCATGGTGGCGTATGCCTGTAGTCCCAGCTACTTGGGAGGCTGAGGCAGGAGGATTGCTTGAGCCCAGGAGTCTGAGGTTGCTGTGAGCTAGCCTGAGGCCATGGCACTATACTTAGGACAACAGAGTCTTAGGACTGTCTCAAAAAAACAAACAAACAAACAAAAAAACACAGCTATTTGGTTCTTTTATGGGAGGCAGGTTACACACACACTCACATACACGATTGGCAGAAGAGAGATATGAAGCCCTGGATGGTTGCTTTTTGAAGATTTTTGTTCTAGTTGTAGTCTTGCAACCAGTTCCCCTCTCAATGTTTCATTTGCCTTTTCTGCCAAATGTCCATTGTAAAACTTTGGAACCATATCAACCCCACAGGGAAAAAAATTAGATTTTGAGGGGCATAGAAAACAAATCTTATCTATTACAATGGTGTGTTGCTTTCCAAATCCCAACCCTACCCAACAAATACTTATTTCTTAATACAGATCGCCCTCCATATCCATGAGTTTTGTACCTACAACCAACTAGTTGGTTCAACCAACTACAGGTTGAAAATATTTTTTAAAATAATAATACAGATAAAAATACAGTATAACAATAACTTACATGACATTCACATTGTGTTAGTTATTATAAGTAATCTAGAGATGATTTAAATTATATGGGAGGATGTGTACAGGTTATTTGCAAATACTACATCATTTTATATAAGGGGCTTGTATATCCATAGATTTTGGTATTTATGGGTGTCCTGAAACCAATCCCCCAAGAATACTGAGAAATGACTATATTTAATTTAATTCTCTTTAATTTAAGAGAATATAATTTTTCTCTGTAGGGGGCCAATAAATAAAAAATAAAGGTTAAGAAACAATGGTGTTGAAATCAACCAGGTGGGAGGGGGGAGGAGGGGAGGAGTAAATTCACACCTAACAGGTACAGTGCACACTATCCAGCTGATGGGCACACTCAGAAATTTGACTCAAACTGTACAAAAGCAATTTATGTAACCAAAACCTTTGTACCACTGTAATACTCTGAAATTAAAACAAAAAACAAAAAACAAAAAAAAAACAATGGTGTTAAGGGGAAAATCCACTATAATATAAGCTCCATGAGATTTATAAAGATTTATGATTGAAAGGATCTTTTCTATTACTAAATACAATAATGACAGTTTAAGATTGCTGTGCACTTACCATGTGCCAATCACTGTTCTCAGTGTTTTGCGTGTACTAATGCATATAAAACTCTCATGCCTCTTGACATAGATGGTACTACTATATGCGTTTTACACATGAGGATTTGGGGACATAGGGAAGTCATGTGATATCAAAATCACATACCCTATGGAGCTACTTGAACCCAGGAAATTTAGCTATAGAACCTTTGCTGTGGACCCTTGGGAACAATCTTGAAATGACTTACTTTTGGTGATGATAACAACCACAGCAGCAAGCAACACCAAGGCAGAAAGGGAGAGTCCAACATAGAGTCCCTCACTGGTGGCAGTGCTCATCCACATGTTTTCTGCTGGGGACGCTTGCTAAGGAAACATCAGTAGATTGAAAAAGCATCTTGTTAGAATTATGGATAGAAAACATTTCCTAGAATAACTTACTCAGCCACATTTATCTTTACTGGACCTTAGCTACTTCTGGAACACAAAAGTAAGACCAAATAATATGGGGTTATAACTAATGGTGAAATTCTAGGAGAATTTGAAATTCAAAATTTATTTTAGGATGATGAAAATGTTTTGTATCTTACTTGGGGTTGTGTTTATATAGGTGTATATATTTGTCAAAACTAAAATGGTGTTCTTAAAATAGGTTTGTATATATTGTATGCAAATTATGTTTTTAAAGTTAATAGGCTGTTTTTATGATATTAAAAACAGGAAAAAAACCAATTTCTGTTCATAATAAGTTGATTTGATGTGATATTATATGAATGTGTTCAGTTATTGAATTTGGTCCTTATTTACAGTCCTTACTTGTTTTTTCAAATATAATTCAAGATTCTACATCTATATAAATAGATTTGAAAATAGCTGCTCACAGACATGGCCCTGATTAACAATTAAATGGTATGCAATCATGCAGAAATGTAGAATTGTATTTATTTTTTTATTTCAGAATTGTATAGGGGTACACACATTTTCGTTACATAATTTGCTCGTGCATGTACAGTTTGAGTCAAAGTTACAAGTGCACCGTTCACCCAATTAGTGTGCATTGTACCCATTAGGTATGAATTTACCCATCCTCTCCTCCCCCCCACCCCACCTACTTGATTTTCTTTGAGTTTTACTTCCATTATGTGCTCATAAGTGCTGATCATTTAGTTCCAATTTAGTATTGAGTACATGTGGTGTTTGGCTTTCCATTCTTCCCATACTTCACTAAGAACGGTCTCCAGTTCCATCCGGGTTACAAAAGAAACTAGACCACCATTTTTCTTTATTGCTGAGTAGTGCTCCATGGCTTACATATACCACATTTTTACGAATCCGCTCATGTATTGATGGGCACTTGGGTTGGTGGGACTGCAAACTAGTACAACCTCTATGGACAGTAATATGGAGACACTTCAAAGAACAAACAGGAGACCTACCATCCATTTGATTCAGCAATCCCACTACTAGTTATTTATCCAAAGGAAAAAATTTCATTTTATAAAAAAGACACTTGGTCCCGAATGTTTATAGCAGCACCATTCATAATCACAAAGATGTAGAATTGTATTTAAAGCCCTGGTGCAGCTCACAGGAGATCGTCACCTTCTGGAAAAACCCCGAATGTGCCAGGCATCATTCAAGGCCCCCTCTCACAGCTTAGCTCTGATCCTACAGAGAACTCACAGGGGAAATAGTTTAACAGAATGGACGTAGAGGATTGGAGAGAAGGCTCGAGTGTCTTCCTGTGTTAAGAGTTTAATCTCTGGAGTCAGAATTCCAGCTCTTCTACTTAGTCCCTGTGTAACCACAGACAGGTTATTGAGCCTCTCTGAACCTCTGTTTCTTTGTCTATAAACAGCAGATTCAATAGGGCTTTGGTGCTTTTTAGGTCCTTCCCGATACAACACTATGAGGCTATAGGCTAACAACATTTGTGCCATTCTTGCTTAGACAGCCAGAGCCTGGGAAGGGAAAACTGTGCTGTTATCACCTTACGCATGGGGAAGGCTAAGGGCATGGGGGACGGTATAAACTGGGTAGATGGAGAATGGGGTTTCAGGAGGCTGGCTTTGCTTTCATTTTTTAAATTATATGATACAAACACTACATGTTTATTTTAGAATGTGCAGCTAAGCATACAAATAGGAAAAATAAAATCAACTATAACCCTAACATTGAGAAACAAGCACTGTTACCATTTGCTTTATATATCCTTCTAGAATTGTATCCTTCTAGAATTTTTCTTTATAAAATATATAGTATTTTAAAAGTTGCTTCTTTCACTGAACAATGTAACCCATGTCAGTAAGTGCACTGCAATGATTACTACATTCTTAATGGCAATATATGGACATGCTTAATTGACTAATTAATCTCTTACTATTAAACATTTAGGTTGTTGATAACATTCCCATGATTATAAACAATAGTAATGAACATACTCTCTCATGTATTTTTATGTATTTGTTCAATTTTCTCCTTAAGACAGGGCCCAGGAAATTGACCTACTGGGTCAAGATATATGCTGCATGTTTTCAAGACACCTGGGAGACATCTTGGTATCTTCAGGGTCAAGGTACAAAAAGCCCACAGTTTCTTGCTATTGCCTGTCTTGAAGCTTCTAAATTGCTTCTACTTGCAGCTACACATACATGTTCTGTAGGTAACCGAGGCCATGAACAACCTCAGCATTCGGAGTGGCTTTTTTTTAAAAAATTCAGCATAAGTCTGGTCATAAGGCAATCCGTTAAATATGTATACTGTGGCAGTTCTGATATTTAGCCAGTATGTACAAATTCAGCATGCATCCATCAAATCAATCAGTGCCCATGTCGTACAAGTTGTTAAAATTTTTAATGTCACTGCTATGTAGTGGTGCTTTCATTGTCACAAAGGTATACAGCATAAGGCTATTTGATCCTACGCTAATTAGCCCCACTTTGCCTGAGCCTTTCTGAATTTCTCTTACAATGGCCATGTTGTCATTTTTCACAACTTTCTATTAGAAGGATTATTCTCATAACCTCAGGCTGTTTATATTTGTTGCTTCTAAGAGTTACTTGAACATCCTAAAAGGCTAGCTGTTTCTCCCAGGAGTCAAAAGAGAAGGCCCTATTGATTAATTTGTCTAACTTATGTGCAAAGTTTAAACTTTTATGAGCCTCAGGAGACTGGGATCCCTTAGATTTTTCTCAAGCTCACTGTGAAAAAAATATGAGAACATTTTAGAGAATCACAGTTGTCTAAGACCTTGGCCAGGCGTAGTGGCTCTTGCCTGTAATCCCATCACTTTGGGAGGCCAAGGCAAGAGGATCACTTGAGGCCAGGAGTTTGAGACCAGCCTGGGCAACATAGAGAGACCCTGTCCCTACAAAAAAAATAGAAAAATTACCCTAGCATGGTGGCACATGCTTGTACACCCAGCTACTCAGGATGCTAAGGCAGGAGGATTGCTTGAGCCCGGGAATTTGAGATTACAGTGAACTATGGTCTCACCACTACATTCTAGCCTAGTGACAGAGAAAGACCCTGTCTGTCTCTTTTACAGAGAGAGAAAAATAAAGTTGTCTAAGACCTTACTACCTTTGAAAGTCACATATGGGTTGGTTTATATATAGAAAAAAAAAATCAACAGTGTAGAGAAAATTTTGTAGAAATCAAAATTTGTAGAAATCAAATTTTCTACAAATCTATATAAAATGGCTATTGAGTGGGGAAAAAGATATTAGAGGACTTATCATTCAGCAAGCACTCTTTCACTTACATTTTATTATTGTTTGGGATGGCCTCCATTCCACCCCACCAAAGCATGTTGTTTCTCTAATAACTGAAGTCCTTTTGAGTATTTTATGTTAACTTGCTCTCCTTAAATTGGTTCATTATTTTTTTTTTTTACCAAATTTTTGGTCAGGGGAATGTCATTGTACTGTGTGTGTGTGTGTGTGTGTGTGTGTGTGTGTGTGTGTGTGTTATTCAGTAAAATACCACTTACTGGGCATCTTTAACAAACTGGACAACCTAAATAAACTTTTCAAATTAAAGCATCCTATTTAAGAGTCAAAGTCTATGGGCTAGTCTTACAGAAATAGTCTTTAAATGTCTATCTTCCTGGAAGCAAGTTACAAAGTGAATCTGGCTAATCAAATAGGAGGGAATATGCTTACAGTTTGATTGTCATGCCAAAGGCCATCTGAAGACTGTGTCACGGTGCCATTCCCATCTGCTCAAAACAAGAAGGAAATTTAATTAGAATTACAAAAAATATTGAATTTTCACTGCAGACACTAAATATATTCACATTGCCTCCTGGTGATGAATGAAAAATTGAATAATATGAACAAACGCTGCAAGCATTGCAAGAGGTATACCAAGTTATTAACATTTTATTAATTTATCCTGTAAAGTTGAGTTTCTTAACCTTTTTGTCATGGGCTCTTTGAAAATGAACTCCTTTTCTTCTTTGTGGAAAAAAATGCAGAAACACACAAAGTTTTACCTACAATTTTAAGGGAATCACAGAAGCCCATTCATGGTACCAGGTTAAGACTAGCATTTAATGGCAATCAATATTGTCATGCTAGCTGAAAAGCTGTCAATGAATGCCCAGAGGCCATATGCACTTCCAAATATCAGAACCCCCCTGGTTGGTCCAAGTGCAGTGGTGTTCACAACTAATTGATCACAACCAGTTATGTATTCCTTTGTTCCTTCTCCACTCCCACTGCTCCATTTGAACAGCCTTAAAAAAAAAAAAAAAAAAAAAAGACCACCCTATTCCAAGTGGACATCACATTTGTTTTACATTCAAAATATAATTAAAATGTACCATGATATCCACAACAGGTAGTATATAACTTTACATTGTATGCTAATGTGCCTAGACTTCAATCCAGAAATGCTTAGAAGATGTTATCAGCCACAAGACCAGTGTATATTATACCATATATAAGAATTAAGGTTTTATGTAGCAAGCCGGGCATGGTGGCTCATGCCTGTGATCCTAGCAGTCTCAAAAAAATAAAAAAATAAAAAAATTGTATGTAGCATAAAATACTACATTGGTCTTAAAGTCATTCAAGTTTTCAAAGTGTTATGAAATATCTGTTTTGAAATAGAGAATATGCTCTGTTGGCCCTCCTAGCCCACTATAGGCCCAGTACAGAACTCTTTTTAACTAGAGGCTTTCCAGACTGGTGCCTGAGCCTCACGTCACGCCATCCACCCACCCCAGTCCTTCTCCCTTCTTTCCTGCTCCCGTCCCCCCAAAAGAATTATCTTTTTACTAAGTACCTACCATATACTAAGCACATTACATCCTAACACCAGGTTCTTAATCCTATTTTTTAATTTCTTCTTATTTTTTTTGAGAGAGAGAGTCTCACTCTGTTGCCTGGGCTAAGTGGCGTCAGCCTAGCTCACAGCAACCTCAAACTCCTGGGCTCAAGCAATCCTACTGCCTCAGCCTCCCGAGTAGGTGGGACTATCGGCATGTGCCACCATGCCCAGCTAATTTTTTCTATATATTTTAGTTGGCCAATTAATTTTCTTTCTATTTTTAGTAGAGACAGGGTCTCGATCTTGCTCAGGCACTGGTTTCAAACTCCTCACCTTGAGCAATCTGCCCGCCTCGGCCTCCCAGAGTGCTAGGATTACAGGCGTGAGCCACCACACCTGACCTTATTATTTTTTTAAGAGACACAGTCTCACTCTGTCACCTAGGCTGGAGTGCAGTATCAAGTTCATAACTCACCGCAACCTCCAACTGCTAGACTAAAGTGATCCTCCTGCCTTAGCCTCCTGAGTGGCTGGGACTACAGGCACACACCATTGCGCCCAGCTAATTTTTAAAAAACTCTTTGTAGCAACAGGGTCTTACTATGTTGTCCATGCTGGTCTTGAACTCCTGGCCTCAAGTGATCCTGCTGCCTCAGCCTCTCAAAGCTAATTTCATTTTATAGATAAAGAAGACAGGCAATGGATATTTAGGTTTTCAATTTTAGTAAATGACAAGGGCTGCTGCTGATAACTACTACAACACTGCACTTCCATCAAAAGGAAATGATTATAGGTCTATGAAATTCCCTAACTGATAAAGGTATAGAGCCTCAACATGAATAGAATTGGACTAATCATATCCTCCTTCCCAAATATTTACATTACTATGTTTACATTTTATTCATTCTGAAACCACTTCTAAGAGAGCCAAAGGCAGTATCTAGGTTTATGCAATATCTACAGTCTAGGCTCTGTTTGTGACCTTAATTAAGACCTTCAGGAATAGGGCTGGGTGATGCAGTAAAAATAGCATGGACTTGAATCAGATAGCATTAGAGTTCAATGCTGCCAATGTCTGTTAGCAATGTGACCTTGATACTCAAGATTCTCTGCATACACACATAAGTATCTATGTGTGTTCATATGTATGTATATGTATCTGTATATGAAGTTGTATGTATGCAGTAGTGCCCCCTTATCTGCAGGGAATATGTTCTAAGACCCCCAGTGGATTCATGAAACTGAACAGTGCCAAACCCTATATATACTATGTTTTTTCCTATACATACATACCTATGATAAAGTTTAATTTATAAATTAGGCACAGTGAGAGATTAACAATAACTAATAATAAAATAGAATATAACGGCCAAGTGCGGTGGCTCACACCTATAATCCTAGCATTCTGGGAGGCCAAGGCGGGCAGATCACTTGAGGTCAGGAGTTCAAAACCAGCATGAACAAGAGTGAGACCCCCTGTCTCTACTATAAATAGAAAGAAATTGGCCAACTAATATATATAGAAAAAATTTAGCCAGGCATGGTGGTACATGCCTGTAGTCCCAGCTACTCGGGAGGCTGAGGCAGCAGGATCACTTGAGCCCAGGAGTTTGAGGCTACTGTGAGCTAGGCTGACGCCATGGCACTCACTCTAGCCTGAGTAACAAAGTGAGACTCTGTCTCTAAATAAATAAATAAATAAATAAATAGAATATAACAATATACTATAGTAAAAACTATGTTGTAAATATAGTCTCTCTCTCTCTCTCTCTCTCTCTCTCTCTCTCTTCCAAATTATCTTAAAATGTTCAGACTGTGGTTAACTGCAGGTAACTGAAACTACAGAAAGGGAAACTGCAGAGTAAGGGGGAACTACCGTATATATATTTCTAGCTAGGAGCCCTGGAACTACAAGCTATAAATAGAACACAGCACACAGAGTTGTTAAAATTAAATTGGGTTATGCATGTGGCATGGCTCACACTACGTTGGGTAAATACCAGCTATTGTTATACAACAGAAGGACCCATGAGGAGAGACAGGGATGCTGTGCACTGCACCTTCTAATTATCATAGACTCTAATCATCCAGGGAGGAAGGTTCGATGGCTTGCCAGTGGGCACAGAAGTTGTAACTGGTGGCTGAACTGGGGAGCTGTTTGCCTCCAGAACAGATTTATAGAGCCTTCCAATCTGACAATAGCAATGGATATGGCTTGCCTGGAAAGAATTAAATGAGATAATATATGAGTTTCCTGGCACACATGTCTGTCGAAGGTGGATAGTGGGCCACATAACATCCCAAACCCCTTCCAGATCTCACATTCTTTCCTTCCAAGAGGCTTTCGGCAACTGAGGGCGGACGCAGGCGCAGTGAGGACTTGGCCCAAGAGCCTCAGACACACGGCCAAAATGGCAGCCGCTACACATAACATGAGTCCCAGGGACCCAGCTGCTCCACGGTCTGTTCCACCCTGGAAAGCTCTACCTCGACCAGGTTTCAGTGACATGATGTTTTAGAGAATGATTCCCTGCTCCTACTTTCTTCCTCCTCACACCCTAAAAGAGTGGGGTGCAGCTGCTCCTACTGCTGTTACCTTGTGTTTTTATCTATTTTCATTTTGTTTTTGTGCCTGGAAACAGTTTGCACTAAGGATTCCACTTTCAGAACCAAATGTCACCGTGATCTCATCCCAACTGAATGAGTCCCTCTGTGAATCTCACTGCAGGTCCATTTTTAATTAACCAGCTTCCAGAAATGATTGGCAAAAGGTAAGCCATATGGGGTGGGAGGCGGGTGCCCACAGATTGGCAACTGCTGAGTACAGTGAGTCACACGCAGGAGGAGTCCTGCAAGACGTGACCTTGTTTGGATGCAGCACAAGGACACATTAGCCGGGTCTGCCTCACAAAGGGCTCAGCACAGGGCATTCCCAAAGCCTACCACTATGGGTAGGTAACCAAGAGAGGTAGCTGGTGACAAGATTCAGTGTCACCTGTCTCCACCACAAGGAAGAGAGGCCAATTTTACCTTCTAAGAGTAGAGACTAAAGGAGGCCACCTCAGACTCAGGAGAATAAGCAAGATTGTTTGCAAAGGAATAGCAAGATCTCAGTGGGACATGCCTCTTTGACACTGGTGTCAGTGTCCCCAAGTCATCTGTCTTGGTCTATTCAGGCTACTATAACACAATACCTCAGACTGGGTAATTTATAAACAATAGAAATGTATTACTCATGATTCTGGAGGCTGGTAACTCCAAGATCAAGGTGCCTGTAGATTCAGTGTCTAGTGAAGGCTGTTCCTTATAAATGGCACCTTCTATGTGTCTCCATGTGGGGCATGGGGCAGACAAGCTCCCTGGGGCCTCTTTTATAAGGACACTAATCCCATTCATGAAGGTGGAGCACTCATGACCTAATCACCTCCTAGATCCCCCACCTCTTAATACTACTGCTTTGGAGATTAGGTGTCAACATATGAATCTTGGGGAGACACAAACATCGAGACCATATAGCCCCATCTCAGAATGTTCACATAAATACAAGCTTGCCAAGGCAGAGGAGACTCCCAGCCGTATTTAGGATCTCAGCCATGAAAGAAGCATGGGTGACTGGATTTAATTAAGGTTCTGGCCCAAGGGATCAAGTCCAATAATAAGTTTGGAATCAAGAGGTTGATTTGATTTATAAAAATAACATGCATGTGGATGTTTCCAAATCATACAAGCTACCTTTGCCAGTCAGGCACATGGATTCTAGATATTCTAAGTAATAATAGTAGTTGCTAATATATCTATCACTCACCCCTCGTAACTGTATCCCGAATCTATCATCTAGTTTAATCCTCATAAGCATTCTACAAGATCAGTGGAATCATATCCATTTTACAAATGACAAAACAGATTCACAAAGTTTAGGAATCTGCACAAGTCAAATAGCTGATTTCCAAGGCTGGTGTTGGATCTCAAGTCAGATCTGTCTTACTCCAGATGTGTGCTCTCAGCAGTGTCAGTGGTTATCAAGATTTGAATTATCCTGAGTGTTCAGGAAAGAGAATCCAGTTACCTGTTTTGTAAGAGTAAAATGGTGAACTGGTAGCCTGTGTCCTTGTTTCCTGCAGGGTTGTAGGCTGGGTTTCTGACGGCTGAGCTGGAGAATGTGACGTAGCTACTGGAATAAAATGAATGGAAGAACCGTGTTCCATTTGTGGAGGAAATTTTGCTCCCCCACGAAAGATAAAGAACAGAACTAAAATCGGGAATTACTATCAACTTTCCATGGAGCCTCCGCCCAGCCTTCCTCGGGAGGCACGAATGGCTCCCAGCTACCCCACGTCTAGCCCTTTCAGCTCCTATTGGAAATTTATTCCAAAATGACCTTCAGGCATGGCACTGCTATCTAGTTATTTATTATCATGAGTTATTTTATTAACCAACACAGAATAGATACTCACAATATGAATTCCTTGAGTCCCTTCAAGCTGACAATATTGCCCAACGTCATGGCTTTGGTAATGATTTGCAACCCTCAAAGCCAGGTTCCTGGCAGACCCCAATCCCACATTCTTCTGCACTTACATTCTAGTCATCCATTTTAAGGGTGATTTCCTGTGTTATCTGACTCATCTTCCAATTCTCACAAAAAAAGCTTCCAGTTCTAGGAACTCTCTCATACAGGGCTGTGTTGTCCTTTCCTTTCCTGAAATCTCTCCTTTACTTCCTAACAGATATCTCACCTTATCTGCAGAGTTGATCACTTGCCTCTTTACAAAGTCTCTGGTTCCCTTCCCTTAGAGCATCATAGAAATCTACAGCAAATTTTCCCAAACCTGAGTTCTCCTTAGTGTCTCTCCCTGGCCCATCTGCTTCCCCTTCCCCATCACAGTCTCGGTAACTTCACATTTCAACATCACCCTTTCTCATGTTCTGTTTTCCTGTTTTCCTCTAGTACTCAAACCTGTAAGAGGATGTGGCTCTCTTTCTGAACTAAAAACAGGACAACCAACCCATGAGAGTCAGATGGTTGGTCTTTACCCAACTTAGTTCTGTGCAAAAGACCTCTTGAGCTTAACTTCTTTCCCACGTTTGGGTCTTTGTGGTATTTTCTTTTCTCTCCCATTCTTTCAACCTCATGTCCAATTGTTCCATGGATATTTTAGGTATGTGCTAGAGGCTCTGAGTGCAGGGATCAGGGTAGATATAAGATATATATCCCCATATTATATTTGCTCGTGTTTACATCTTTCTGTACTGAGAAGTTCGACTCTAAACTCAAACTCTTTAGGAAACTGGACACGAATACGGCTCAATGAATGCCATCCCTCAGGAGGCCACATGGACATATAAACCAACACTTTTTGTCTAAATCTCCGCTTTAAATGAAGTCAATAACTTAGACATGTTCTCCAAACCAAGTCTACTAATCCATCCACCTTCTCAGGCACAAACTAAGTATTAAAAAGTTAAATCAATACGAGAAAGTCTAGCAGATTCTCTAGTGTGTTCAGCTGCCTGGAACAAAGCTGTTTTTCTTACAAACTTTTATGGCTCTAAAATCCCAGTTATTACCAAAAGCTCTCTCTTCCAAACTCAGCACATAGCCCAATCCTTCAGATTCCTCCTGGTTAAATGCACACACAGTTCAATGGAAGTCAAGGGAAATTAATATGTTCCATCAGATTTTCCTGGCTAAGAGGTTGTGACACTTCTGTTATTCCTCCAAATCTAGAGCCACCTCATGGGGTCAAAGGGTTTGGGGGGCTTTGAGAATCTCCAGTAAAACTTATCTTTTTCATCCTGGAAAAAGAATATTTGAACCTAACCTTGTCTTCAGAATGACAAGTTATTTTTCCACCTGTAAGTCAAGTTATTCTCCATTTGTATGAAATCTAAACTCTTTTTTTTACTTTTTTTCTTCTTTTTTTACTTTATTCTTCCTTTTTCCACCAAAACCTGAACCAGTAGAAATCTAAACTCTTATCTATGGGAAATTTGAAGTATGAACCATGTGGTCTGAATTGAAAAAAAATAAACATGTACATTCTAAATCCCTGAAGTCCTTAAATCCAATGTCTATTTTTTCATGAACATAAATAGCATCTTTTGCAAATTTTCATGCTACATAAATAAATTAAAGGACCCTTGAAGCAAAACTGTGTAAATCACTGACTGCCACCAAAAGACAGGGTGATCGTATAAAAGCTTTTTCAGTGAAGATGCCATATCAGGTCAAATTCATCCAAACATAAAGCTCAGTGCTCAAGATAAGAGGCCCAATCTGGTAGTTTAAAGCACAGGCCCCAAATTCCAATGAACAGAGACTGAATCCTGACTCAACCAATTTCTACCTGCATTACTTTCAACAATGAACTTTTAGACTCTGTGTCTCAGTTCCCACTACTATCAAATACGGTTGAACCACACCTACAATGGATATAGTTGTCAGTAAGAATTAAATGCATGTAGCATGGTCCCTGGTACATAAGAGACAGTAAATGTTAGCCTCATCAAAATCTTACCAAGTGGAGGACCTGAATTCAGAATAGGCTCGTGATCTCTAGAGCTCCTTGTGAGGGTGGAATCTCATTAACCTACCCTTGTTCTCTGGCATTCCCTGTTTTTCCTCAACCAACCGTGCCCACCTGAGCCAGATTCACACTATCTCCATTAGATGTCCTAGATCAGTGATCCAACTATTTTTGGCTAATAATCCCTTCAAGAATCTGATAGAAAGTGATGGGTCCCCTCAAAAATGCCTCTTTGTACAAAAGGTGCATATGATTTGGGGAGGAGAGGAGGATTACAAACCCTGTGGAGGACCTGTTTGGAACCCAGATAAGAACCCTTACCCTAAACTGTCCTTCTGCCTAAACACAGTGGTCTGGGTGGTCCACAGTCTTTCATTAGAAGGCCATGGGGCTCCCAAACACATGTTTTACCTGGCTTGTGGGTCTGCGTGGGTGATGGCATTGGGGAAGCAGAGGTAGAGGTGCTTGGTGACGTTGGAACACGCGTGTCTGTGGCTGGAGGCAGAAATCAACACGGAAGCAAGGATTAATCAAGCAGCGCTGGAACTGTACCCTAGCACACCAATCAGAGTCTGTCCCCAAGCAGAACTCTGTCTCCTGAACTCTCGTTCTTTGTCATTAGCCAACTAGAATCTGTGAGAGGGGAGGACTTTGGAGACAAGCTCATAAAAAAAAAAAAAAAAAAAAATGGCAGCTGCAGGGAAAGGTATATATTTGGCAAGTGAGAACAGATACCTCTTATTTGCATTGAAGCACTTTTTAAAAGATCAATCACCCATATCTGATCTATGCAGCTTCATAAACACCTCTATGAGTTGTGCCTCTATGAGACACTTAGGAAAAGTGTCTAGAGCCTGGAGCTGTTCTTGATCCTTCTTTCAGTGGTAAATGGTTAAGAAAGTAGCTCTGAGGCCCAGTATATTTACCAAATAAAGAGGGTCCTTTCAGTCGGTCCTGAGGGCACACACCCAATGGACTTGCATCTTAACTGAGGGCAAACTCACGCCCATTAGTCTAGACAGATCACAGGTGGGGGCCCACACAAAGGATTCATGCATCTGGCTAGATGATGGACAAGATCTTCTAAGCAAAGGTTTCTTACCTAAGAGATAATTTACAAATTTACAAGAGGTAATAACCTCTTCCAGAGGCAGAGATGTAATAGGAATCCAAACAGCATACTGACGGTCTCAGAGCCACCCAGACAGACAGCAAGACTAGAGCTAAAGCCAAAGTATCTGGCACAAAAGGATTGTCAATCAAGGAAGAAATAAATCAAGAATGAACATGTACTTTCATTCTCACCAAGCACATTTTTTTTCCTATAAGTTTCCTTAAATCTCAACTCTACTAACTATAAAATAAAACCTGAGGTCCTTTGAATAGGAGATAATTGGCTTGAAAACTCTTCTTTCTGTGGGATACAATTTAATTTGGAATCCAGCCAGTTTTTGCCTTGAGGAGAAAGAAATTTTTTATGTGAGTGCCTGTTAGATATCAGGCATTAGTTAAAGCAGAGGTCAGCAAACTTTTACTATTAAGGGTTCCAATATTGAATATTTTAGGCTTTGGGGCCCTGTGGTCTCAGTGGCATCTATAACTCTGTCCCTTTGAAAGCAGCCATGCACCATATGTAAATGAATGGGTGTGGCTATGTTCCTATAAAACTTGGTTTAGAAAAATAGTCCCTGGGCTTTGGACCTATTATAATCTTCTCTGGCCCTGGGACTATAGTTGCTGCCCTGACATAATACAAAGTCAGAGGCTTGAGCACAATCCAATCTCCTCCCTCCACAATTTAAAATGTAATCTAGAGGGAAAACAGCAAGCATGCAAAACATCTGGTCAAAAGTTCATCATGGGATGATGAAGAGGGGGAATTCTAATCAGCTCATGGAACTTTTATTTCTCAGGGCTGTTCTCTCTATGAAGAAGCTGGGAAACTACAAAAATAGAAAGAACTGATGGAGAGAAGCCCTAAGAGTTGAGAGTAAGCTCAACCTGTGAAAAGTACAAGAAAACTTAAGCAATAACTTGAATATCCAGGGATGCGGCAGAGGGTCACTTTGGCTCGATTATGGACCCATTTTCCAATCCTGACTCAACCAATTTCTACCTGCATTCAACAATACTTTCAACAATGAACTTTTAGACTCTGTGTCTCAGTTCCCACTACTATCAAATACAGTTGAACCACACCTACAATGGATATAGTTGTCAATAAGAATTAAATGCATGTAGCATGGTTGTAAATATCCCATCTATTAAGAATTTCTTTAAACTCCATGTGCTTACTTCAACAGCACATATACTAAAGTTGTAACGATACAGAGATTACCGTGGCCCCTGGGCAAGGATGACTTGCAAATTTGTGAAGCGTTCCATATTTTAAATTAAAAAAAAAAAAAAGAATTTCTTTAAACTTTATAAAAGTCTACAGAATTAAGGAAATATGAAAGTCTATATATTGTAAAAGTCTCCTACTAATTTCTTCCTATGTCACCTTTTAAAATGTAGCCAGGTTAACAATATAATTGACAACTCCAAGAAAGTTGCAACCATACACCTGCTACCTCTTCTCCACAAGCTGTCCCCGTACATCTGCCCGTAACACCCTACATGGCCAGTGTCCTTTGGCTTACCTGCACTGCCTCCCAGACAGTTTCCCCAGACTCAGCTATTGTCTCCATCAGAATTGTTTTGCTCACCCTTGTAAGAAAAGCAAGCCAAGTCCAAAAGCTGAGAGATTGCAAAATAAAGTTTCTTTTTATTTGAAAAAAAATTAAAATTGGAACCCCGGTTTTTTAGGGCCCAGGTGTTTTGTTTTTTTTTCTCCGTGTAACCTTTTTGGAGAGAGATATTCATTAAGAAAGAGCACCGGAGACCAGGAAATCCTCAAGAACCTACTTCTTTCATCAAACAGTAAGGAAAATTGGGATGTTCACATGAAGATGGCAAAATGTGATATTCCCAGATTTTTGGATTTCACAAACTCCTTAAAACAACTGTGAACAGTTGTTGGAATGCGAATGATTTTACAGAAGGTCATTTTAATTTTTAAAAAAGAAATTTGTGATTTGATGTGAGATATGCTTCAAAAAGTTTGATCTCCATTATAGTTTTAAAATATTAAAAAGTGGATATTTTTTAATGTTCCCGTAAGACATAATCTCAGAGAAAAAGGGCAGTGCTTTAAGTTGAATAAATTCAGCTTCCTAAAAATATTCACTATATTTCACTATGAAACAGTGAATGCTATTTCATGGACTACCTAGCACATTTAAAGTACAGTTGGCCCTCCATATCTGTGGGTTCTATATCTGTGGATTCAATGAACTTCAGGTGGAAAATATTTGGGGGGAAAAAATGGATGGTTGCATCTGCACTGAACAGTACAGACTTTTCTTGTCATTATTTCTAAACAATATAGCATAACAACTATGTATATAGCATATACATTGTATTAGGTGTTAAGTAATCTTGAAATGATTTTAAGTATATGGAAGGATGTGCACAGGTTATAAATATCTTCTCTACCACTTTATATTAAGGGACTTGATCATCTGCGAATTTTGGTACCCTCAGGGGATCCTGGAACCAATTTCCCATGGATACCAAGGGACTATACTGCTTTAGGAACTAGTTTGCTGATTCTACCCTATGGCCTTGAATCAAGGTTAGTCTTACAACGTTATCTACACAAATTAAAATTATCCTATTTCCCAAGAGCAAGAGTTTACTGGAAAACAGGACTAAGGAATTTCCTTTTTCCCCAATTAAAAGAAAAGAAAGGCCGGGAGCGGTGGCTCACGCCTGTAATCCTAGCACCCTGGGAGGCCGAGGTGGGAGGATCGCTCAAGGTCAGGAGTTTGAAACCAGCCAGAGCAAGAGTAAGACCCCGTCTCTAATAAAAATAGAAAGAAATTAATTGGCCAACTAAAAATATATATAGAAAAAAAAATTAGCTGGGCATGGTGGCGCATGCCTGTAGTCCCAGCTATTCGGGAATCTGAGGCAGAAGGATAGCTTGAGCCCAGGAGTTTGAGGTTGGTGTGAGCTAGGCTGACGCCATGGCACTTTAACCCTGGGCAACAGAGTGAGACTCTGTCTCAAAAAAAAAAAAAAGAAAAAAATTAACCTGCATGAAATATCAAAGGATAAAAGGCAAGCTTACCTGGTTTAATCTCCAATGATAGGGTGACTTTCATGTCATTGAACCACCCCCTGTGCTCAACACGGCAACAGTACAAGCCACTGTCAGCCTCAGCTGCATTCTCTATGGTCAAAGAGACATTCCCTTTCAAAAGGTCCCCTCTTAGCTCGTAACGATCGTGCTTCTGAAAGGTGACACGGGACCCATCGGTCCAGACAATTTCATCTGAGCATACAAATACAGGACATGCCCCTCGGCCCCAGCACATGGAGGTGACTGCTCCATCAGCCACTGAGTAGTTGCAGGGGAGTGTGACAGTCTGACCCACCACTCCACTCACTTGCACAATGGCAACTACAGCATCTGCAATGAAAAGAGAAGAAAAACTGAGAATGAGGCCTCAATATTCTCTTTGAAAAGTTATTTTTAGGAGGGGATGGGTATATACAAACACAATGAGTGAGATGTGCAACGTTTGGGGGATGGACATGCTTGAAGCTCTTACTCGAGGGGAGGGGGGCATGGGCAATATATGTAACCTTAACACTTGTACCCCCATAATACGCTAAAAAAATAAATAAAAATAAAAAATAAATTTAAAAAGTTATTTTTATTTTTCTTTGCACCATTTATTTGTTTTATATAAGTATGACTTTATAGCTTGAATTTTAAATTTTACTATTATAAACACTTTTCTACATTGGCATATTTTTCATCAGTAGTATTGTTTAATGGATATACTTGTGGATAAAACAATGTCTTATCCCGTTTGATGGTCAAGATGTTTCTCATTGTTATCATTGTAAATAACGTCACAAAATCTTTCCACATGAAGCATTTCTGTATTCAGTTTTCCTAATAAAATAGAATTCTAAGAAAGAAATTGCCAGGAATTCCACAGCTCAGCATGTAAAAACAACAGAAATAAGAAAAAAGATTTTGAAAGTAAAAACAATAATTTAAAATAAATAAATTATCAGGAAAATTTTCACTCATTTCATGAATATGGGCAAATTGCTCTCCAAAAGGTTTGAACCAAATGGCATTCAAGTAACACATGAATGTGTGTTCCACCCTGTGTTGGCCAGGTATCTGCTTGTTATTGATTTTTGAATAGGTAAGACATGCACATGACTTTTAAAAATTAAAGAATAACCAAAGAGGATATATATATAGTGAAAAGTCTCCCTCCCAATGCAGTACCCCTGTCTCCTCTCCCAGATTCACGGTATCGGTAGATAAACGTTTTGTTTGTTAGTTAATTTAAGCAAAATTAAAATGCAATTTAATTCTATTGCATTTAAATTTCAAATTTTTCATTTTCATTATGATTTTAAAAACTACTACTGCAAATGAAATCACCTTCCCTCATCCCCACACAAAAAGCAGAGTTAATGTTTTGTTTAAAGCATTTTTGGCTCAAAGGCAGCAGTCTAGCAAACTCCTCAGAAGTCAATTTTTAGCACATGGGTTTATAATACCCCCAGGAGGAACTGAGGCTCATCATGGGTTTTAGGATCAATCTAAAAAAAGCCTAAGTAAGGGCCCCTTCTCATAAGTCAATGACAGCCCAGCAACTTAGCAAGGCCCACTTACTCAGGTGAAACCATACAATCACAGAACATCCCAGTAAGCACTAAATTATGTCACTTAAAAAAACAAAAACAAAACTATCTCCTGGGGTAGTAGTACAAAAACCCTGCTGCCAAATGCAGTCAAAGTAGCCCGTAAAAGAAATTTGAGATTCCCTCGCTACTCATACTTAGGACTGAGCTATGAGTTTGGTAAGTGCTCTGGGAAAAAATGCTCATTGCAATGTAAAATAAGAGTATATTTCTCATTTGAATTCTTATGATTTAATTTTGCCTAATACTGATACCATGTTTGGGATTATGAATATAATGCATGCTATGATATTAATAAATAGATTATATTAATAGAAACAAATAATAATGAACTTTCCCCATAATATCACCCTCCAGAGATTAGGTTTTAAAATTTAGGATATGCCTACTCCAAAATTTTGCCCTATCTCATAGAATGTTTTGAATTAAAATATTTATTTTAAAACAAAGTAATTGAACATGGTTTTAAAAAATAATCAAAAAGCATAGAGTAATACAACGGAAGGCAACCTCTCCTTTCTACCTCTGATGTTCACTTCCTCTCCCCAACCCTTGACCCCACCCCATGGTAACCATGGTTACCATTTCTTATATACATGTGTCTATGCATACACATTTACACACTTCTTTTTTGTTTACACATAAATGGTAGCTTGTGACACACTGCTCTGCATCTTACCTTGTTCACTTAGCATTGGATTTTGTAATTCACAGCAGCTAAACAATTTCTTTGGAGTAAAATTTCATCCTGGTTCTCTGCTCACTAACTCATAACCACCCAAGCACGGCCAAGAGCCGTGGCTCACGCCTGTAATCCTAGCACGCTGGGAGGCCGAGGCAGGAGGATTACTTGAGCTCAGGAGTTCAAGACCAGCCTGAGCAAGAGAGAGACTCCATCTCTCTTTCTTTCTATTAAAAATAGAAAAATTAGCCAGGCGTGGTGGTGCATGCCTATAGTCCCAGCTACTCAGGAGGCTGAGACAGGAGGATTGCTGGAGTGTAGGAGTTTGAAGTCACAGTGGGCTATGAGGATGCCACTACACTCTACCCAGAGTGACAGAGCAAGGCTGTCTCAAAAACAATAATAATAATAATAACCACCCAACAACACCCAAAGAACATTTATCTTCCTCCACCTCCCCACCCCCTACCCTTCCACTCCCCCAGCCCAGAGGCTTCTGAGCCCCTCAGCACACCTACTTACTTAACTTACCTGCTAGGAGTAATATGAGGCTTATGATGACCAGGCGAGACTGCATTTTGGGGTCAGCCTGAAGGAAAACGAGCAGACACAGTGGTCGGTTTTTCCCCTACAAGACGTTATGTGGTCTCAATTCTCAGCTTACAACTTCTCTTTTCTCCCTCACTGGGTGAATCACATGAGCCGCTGTGCTGGAGATAAGAGCAGACCACGTACAAGGACTTCGGGGCTCTGTTAGCTGAGGGCTCCGTGCCTTCCAAAGGGCAGAGAATGCTGTCCTCGAAAACAGCCTTTTATTTCCCAGCCTCTTCCCCACACAGAGCCTCCCAACCAACCCCTGGTCCTGACACAGGAGGTAAGGAAGGAAACAAAAAGGGAAACCGGAGGCAGATATAAACAGGGTGGCCCAAGGACAGCACAGCAGAGCAAAGACCAGCCTTCCAATAGCAGAGAGGCCTTGCTCTTGGTCTCTGACAGTAAACTTGCCTTCGGGTGGACGTGGGGCTCTTCCTGCTTGGTGGCCACAGTGGTTAGTCCCTATCGTTAACAGTTATATTGCCGAGTTTGCCATTAGCTAGAGGAACTGAGAAAGAATGTGAATCACCGTGCCCATCCATTCATGCTACCGGATGCGATGACTCAGACTACATCCTACTGAGGAATTTCAAGAGAATGCTTCAAGAAGCAGAAGTCTGGACCAGAACTGGGTTCGGATCCAAGCTCTGCCATTCACAGAGCTGGGGAACCCTGAGAGTTACTGATCCCTTCAAGCCTTGATTTCCTCCTTTGTAAAACAGCACTAAAAATATTTGCTCTGTCTCCCTCAACGGATTGGTATAATGGGCAAAGGGGTTATACAGGGAGAACTTTTTAAAAAAATGTCTATAATACACGCTAGTAACACTAGCTGAGGTTTCTGGAGAATTTATTATGTAGAATTACTATTATTATGTATTAATGTATTAATACATAATACATGTTATGTCTTATGTAGAATTTATTATTATTGGCTCTATGCCAAGAATCCACACGCATTTAGTCCTCACAGAACACATGAGGCGTGTGCCATCCGTTATTAACCCCATTTGTGGAGGAGGAAGCTGAGTCTTGGGGAGGTTAAGTGAGCTTAGATTCCAGGCTTCTGGCTCTTGACTTCTGCTCTTAATCATTAAACCACACAAACCTGAGTAAGCCTGCCTAGTACTTCATTAACTCCAGAGGGGGCAATGGTGATCTGCTTCCCGCCTTCCTGCAGCCCCTCACAGGCTTCGTGGAGGAGTGGATGGTCCTGGCACACCGTGTACATTGACCCCACGCTGCCTGGGAGTGGGCACCCCCGACTCCAACAGCCCCAGCACTCGGAAGAGACCGGAAGCCCAGTGCTACCAACTGGTGGCCCAAAGACTATATTTGGCCCTGGGGAAGTGTTTTGTGTGGCAGTGTTCGAAAATTCATTTCTTAATTAATAGCCAAAATTTTAAAATCCAGAGAGTCCACATGAAACTCAGCTTTTGGACTTTTTGTGAAATAAAACGAGATGGCAACACACGGCCTATTCATCTGTTCCCTTTGAGTTCTTCAGTCTGCTCCAGCTGACCCCGGGGACTCCTGTGACAAGGACAGGTGTTGGTGGGAAGGAGGCCCTTGCCTTAGATGTCTACCTCCTCCACCTTCTTGAAGGCAAGCTCCCTCCTGTCACTGAGCTTTCACACTGCCTGTCCCATAGGCTAGTTGCTGAAATTTTGCTCTTCCATAAAATGAAGTGTTGGACCATGATCTTTAATAGCCTGTCCAGCTTTGCAATGCCAAATGCTTCACACTCTTGAATTAAACTGTGTAACAAGATGAGTTCTACCAAGAAATAAGCACGTTTCTAGATACTTCCTATATTATCCTATTCTCTGCCTTTATAGGTTAGGTTCGGAGGGGACACCATTGATCCCATCTCAAAAAACAAAGGTGGGGGGATAAATTCTCAAATGGCTCACACAGAACTAAATCATGCTTTATTTATTTGGGAGGCAAAATATTTTATGACCAGTTTTTATTATACTCAGACTGGGCCAAAGCCCAGTCAATGATAAAGACTTTTTTCAATTTAATTTGATTCTACCAGTTATTACTAACATATTGAGGCTAATGAGGCCCAACTCAATATAAAGGATGAAAAAAAATCCAGGATTGTGTAATCGGGCAGAAACACACTTAAATAAGCAATTAACTAATAAAATCAGGCAGAATGAGATAAATGGTAAATATATAATCTGACCATGTCACTTCCCCAATGATAACTCTCCTGTAGCTCTCTTGGGGAAAAAAGAAAATTCCCAACTCCTTAGATTTACAAAACCCTGGTGGATCTAGCCCCTTTACCTACCTCTAACTTTTTCTCCTACCACCCGCTCACCTGCGCACCCAGCCCCAGCCACGCAAAGTTTTCTTTCCAATTTACCTTGACCTTGAGCCTTTCCCCTGCAGTGTTCTCTGTCCAGCTCTGCACTCCTCCCCCACACACCATTTTCACATTTTTCCTTTTTTTTTTTTTTTTTTTTGAGACAGAGTCTCACTCTGTTGCCCTGGCTGGAATGCCATGGCATAAGCCTAGCTCACAGCAACCTCAAACTCCTGGGCTCAAGCAATCCTACTGCCTCAGCCTCCCGAGTAGCTGGGACTACAGGCATGCGCCACCATGCCCGGCTTATTTTGTCTATATATTTTTAGTTGGCCAATTAATTTCTTTCTATTTATAGTAGAGACGGGGTCTTACTCTTGCTCAGGCTGGTTTCGAACTCCTGACCTTGAGTGATCCTCCCACCTCGGCCTCCCAGAGTGCTAGGATTACAGGCGTGAGCCACCGTGCTGAGCCCACATTTTTCCTTTTTTATTTTGATTCCTCCTTAAATGTCACCTGCCCAGACACTTCTCTGGTCCCTCAATCTGAAGTAGCCAACCAGTCTCTCTCTTTGTTATCACCCTATTTTAATTCTCTAGGCAGCAGGGTTACCTTATTTCCCTTGATGTATTTATCTGCATGTGTGATGTGCGTGGCACCTGTCTCCTTTCACTCCTGTGCAGTGCTGCCCGACAGAACTTTCTCTGATGACGAGCTGTTCCGTGTGGGCGCCCAGCGGCACGATAGCCTTTATATATATATATTAGTTGGCCAATTAATTTCTTTCTATTTATAGTAGAGACGGGGGTCTTGCTCTTGCTCAGGCTGGTTTCGAACTCCTGATTTAAATTGCTACACATGGCTACCTTGTTGGACACCACACAACCCTAGACCATAAACCCCTTTAAGGCAATGTAAGTATTGATAGAATAAACAAATGGAAGCACAAAGGCATGGGAGGCATGAGGAGGGATCATTTTGACGAGGGTAGAGGGCAGAGGGGCAGAAAGAAATTCTTTAAAAAGTGACTTGCAAGGTTAACAGCTGGAGAAGAATTGGGGGGCCGGGAGGTGGTTTAAGTCCTGGTAATAAAGAGCAAGAGCCTAGACAGGGAATGTAGAACCAAGGCTCTGAGATGCTAAGTAACTGTATAATTCCATAGGATTGAATCTTCTTTTTTTTTTTTTTTTCCCCAAGGGAATCGTGAAATGAAGTTTATTGAGGAAGGACAAGATAGGTGTACAGATCAAGAGCAAGATATAGGTTTACAGAGTAAGAGCGAGAGACATTCACCACAGAATGGTGAACAGACTCCTCTGTCATAACAAACTCCTCCCATAACAGGGCTCCTGTTATGGTCCGGGGTCCTGTTTTACAGTGTCTGGATTGGGCCCACCTCATGGTTCACACATCGAAGATTGAATTTTCTAACACGAGGTAACTCCCATGAGACTCCACTGTGTCCTGAAGAATACAACCTTCATGAATCACTACTCTTTACACATACACGCACGCACACACACACAAACACACATTTAGAAACAAGGTCTCCCTCTGTGGCCCAGGCTAGAATGCAATGGTGTCATCATATCCCACTGCGACCTCAAACTCCTAGGCTCAAACGATCCTCCTGCCTCAACCTCCCAAAGTGCAAGGATTATAGGCATGAGCCACCACCCAGGGCATGAATCACTATTCTTTAGGGTCACCTTTGGACCCCTGAGGGATACACCCCAGTTGCAGGGTAAGGTTCAACAAGGTGACAGTACTTGGGCACCAAACCTGAGTCTCTAGCAGCTTCCTAGCAAGCTTCATCTGTGTAAAGCAGGATCAACATGCAGTGAATTCCAAAAACGAATTAATTCATCATTCTTTCCGCAGCTACTTCACTGCCATCTCCAACACACACCTCCAGCTCCAACCTACTACAGAACAGTTCGCCGGCTCGTGTTCTCCATGCTTTCACCAGAGTGAGATCTTCCCCACCTCCTTTCACAACTAGGGAGTCACCCCAATCAAGCCACCCCATTGTATTTGCCAGGCCCCTCTCATCCCTACCACTTTACATCAGGCCCATCTGCAACCCAGACTTCTGCTATTCCTTCCAGAACTGTCTCCTGTCCTCCTACTCTCCCTGCCTGCCCTGCCTCCTGCCCTAAGCTAGTTATTCTCCTTCACTTGCTATTGACTTAATAAAAAGTAATACGCTGCTCCTAACATTTTGGAAATCATAAAGATAGGTAAAAATCACACAATACTTGTATTTAACATAGAAAATATATAAACATATAATACCAAAAAAATGTCCTCATTTAACAAATATTTACTATCTGTAATGTGTTGGACACAATCCTATTAATTTGGAATATATCAATGATCCAAAGAGCCCTAGATTCATGTAGTTTACATTTAACTAGAATACAAATATATAAATTTTGGCCTATAATCCTAGCACTCTGGGAGCGCGGCAGGAGGCTACTTGAGCCCAGGAGTATGAGGTTGCTGTGACATAATGACATCACAGACCTAGCCTGCGGCAATTGAGTGAGACACTGTATCAAAACAAACAAAAGGCGCGGCGTGGTGGCTCACGCCTGTAATCCTAACACACTCACACACAACAGATACCTGGACACAGTATCAAAAACACGAACAAAACAAACCTGAGTAAAACACACAGCGAGACACACACAACAACAAAACACAACAACACAAAAACAAAAAAGACACACACCAACAAACACAAACACACTCATTAAACCAAACACAACACTAGGACACTAATAATAACAAAACAAAATAACTGGCTCACACACAAACAACATAGTCCCAGTACTCGGTCGAGGCTGAGCCGTAGATTGCTTTGAGCCCCGGAGTTTGAGGTTGGCTGTGCTACGGCGAATGCACGACCTCACTCTAGCCTGGGCAACAAAGTGAGGACTGACTGTCTCAAAACACAAAAAAAAAAAAAAAAGGAGGGAAAAAAAACCCCATAAATATACAAATGTTTAGAAACTAACAAGAATGCAATTTATCAGCATATTACAAGGTGATGAGTACTAATAGAAAAAAGAAAAGGAATATGCAG